TTTCCCACAATTAGAAGTTGCCAGTATTAAACACATTGGTGTTATCAAATGTAAAACATATAATTAATAAATGGGTGAAAATCGCTTGTGTCCATAATGCGCAGCATTAATACCCACATGACAGCTCATTGTTACTTTGTAATTCTACTCCACTACAATTCAGAGGTTAACCTGGTATTTTTACTCCACTGCATTTATTTGAGTTACTTTGCAGATTCTGATTAATTATGTGAAATATAAACAACCCTTAAACCAGACTTTAGTTACACCTGAGTAAAATTCAGGGAAGGTGATTGTCAAGTGCCAACAATCAGGAGAGATATTTGATAGTTGGTGCTTGAGAAGACTAAAACATGTATCTGAAATTGACATGAATGGAAATGAGTAATAAAGTATATTCATTACTCGTTATTCTCTACTAATAGTTAATTAAAGACTGTATATTATGGCTATTTTGCACATCCCTTTCAAGATTTTCAAAGGTTTATTGACATATCATATACACAACTACGGTGTAGTTATGCAATGAATGAAACACTTGGGTCACAGGTTCCTCAACAGACATCTATCAATATGTGTGAACCTCCACCATTAAACTGTCATATTCTGCACATTTCTTATTCTATCTACATACATAAGAGTATAATTCATATGTATAATATCAGTTAAAATAAGTGCTTCAACATAGTTAACATTGCAGGAAAGCAATATATTAGACGTTAAGTACTTTGTCAGGCTTAATATTTATCTGTAGATAGACACCGCCAAAGTTTTTTTCTTATTTAAAAGAAGACCTTAATCTGTTATTTAATGTTTAAATAAAGGTTCATTCGTTTTTCTGTTTTGCACCTCCTCCTATTAATATCTTTGTACATTCTGCACTAAACTGTTTTATTGTAGAGATCACTTATAGTATCTTCTTGATTTTTTATATTCTATATGTATACTTTCCTCCTATGAAAGTATGTACTCTTAATATTTTTTTAATCAAATAAAACACAATAATTCAATAACGTGCTTTAACCACTAGGAGGTGCACACAAGGTACACACAGCCATAATAACTTTGTATTATTAGTGTAGGACACTTGTGTTTTCGTACAACATCTGTAGATGTGTAGTTTTATGCATGCTTTCACATAATTTTACAGCATATTGCTATACTATTTCAGACTCAGTATTTACATTCTTACATTCAAAGAAAATCAATAATATCTTTAAAAACTACAGTCCTTTTATATCAGCTGTGCACCGTTATGGTGTAAATATAACCTATCTGTGAATTAGATAAAATGTAAAAGTCAGCCAAATTAGTGTTAATATTGCAAGGAGACGTATTGTGTGAAGAGAAATTGAAGATGTTGTTTAATTGTTGAATATATTTATGATCCACGTCAAGTATTCAGTTTCGGCGGCATTTTCTCAGTTTTTCCAAAGGTCTTCTCATCAGGGCTCTATAAATAAAGAACTACGGCAGATCTGTAATATACAATGCAGCCAAACCGTGTATTACAATGCCGTTATGTGATGACTTTCAAAGAGAAAAGCAAGAGCGCTTGGAATTAAGTATTATTTTATTCTTTTAAAATGTTTTCCGGATTTCATATCATATAAACACCAAATCCCAGCATGCATTGCGGCTAAAACATCCAATAAACGAGCTTAAAACCATAGCTGAGGATATTGGGTAATCGCTCGAAATGCCTACGTCTGTTTCCGGTTATTTTTATTTTGAAATTCAGTTCCTGACGGAGGCCAAAAAAGCCAGAGATTATGGAATTAAACCAATAAATAAAAGCAAGGATAATTGTGTGTTATTGGTGAGTAAATAACAGTGTGTTATTTTGAAAAGAATAACAAATTAGAAGGAAAAAAAAGATTTAAAAAATACAGATTTCCGTATTCTGAGGCTCTGAGACCCATTTATTTTCCTCACAGATGGCAACAAAAGTCAGAAATTATAGGATTTCAAATAAAAGCAATAACTGTGGCTTGATATTGAGTAAGAACATGTTTTTATGAACCACACAGCTTCCGCTCTTCCTCGACCCGACCGGAGAAAAAGACGTGCTGCAGGCAGTAGAAATACATTGCTTTTAAAATCGTGCCGTGCAACACGAAAAAAAAAGGGGCAAATCGTGTTGGTGAACACGAATCAATAGATAAAAAAATCATGTTGGTGAACACGAAATGCCGTGAGACTGGGTTGGTCATAGATACAAGCTGCTATTGGACAAATACAGTGTATAATAAAGATGAGATCAGAGCAGTGTATGAGTCATTATGTTCAGATGCTTTGTTCCTAGCTGTTGTCATTACTTGTAATAAATATACATACGGCACTTATTTTCGAAGGAAAAATAATATTCGCAATCCTCATAAGGGGCCGTAAAGTAAACCCGCCTATTCTTCAGGGCACTATGGCTGCGCCCTTGGTTGAAAGCACTGTATATTTAAAGGTTTTTTGGAATGCAGACGCGCGCCCCGCTTGGCAAGTGACTACAAACAACTAATCACAGCTGCAAGATATATTTCCTGTCTTCTATAACCTCACTTTAAGGTAGATATTTATGATAAAGTTGATTATTTTATTGCAGGGCACATTTTACGCACAGCGTTTCCACGAGACACGGCAGGCAAAAACATCGTTTTTCAAGTACTGGTCAATTTTGAGATGTTGTGCTATTTTGATTCTATAACATGTTTTCTTTCAGGCATTTGGAAGGAAAACGTACAAAATACACATTTAAGTGTTTATTTTACTATAGTTTGTCTATTTGCGTCTGTAGATTTCTCCTAAATTCACCAAAAGTTAGCATTCTAACGTAACATAAAGTACCGCGACAGCTGTGTGCACCATGTCAACAGACGTATCGCTGGAAAGCTGTGTCTCTCCTGCACAATCTCATCGGATCCAAATATGGTCATTTCCTTTGTATCAGCAACCAATCGTGAAAGCACAAAGGGGTCTTAAACCAAGAAACGAAATCTCATTGGCTGGTGTCAATTTCTGACAACGTGATTCGTTCAGATGCGTCACGTGGTGTGCTAAAACACTTCCTGGTTAGCTTTCCGCTAGAAATTTAAATCTCAAAATGGCAAAAGAACGGCGAAAAAAACGTTCACAGAGAAGCCGACAACAATTGTCACTTGCACGAAGCAAGGTTATACAAAAAACAAAAGACCCCGAACATGAAATACCTTCATGTAGTGCGTCGAGGCGCAAGCTGTCATCCAAAGAACAGAGGGTTTAGCTAGCGCCTCACTGCAATCTTTAAAGGTCGTTTTCTCAAAATGAGTTTTTTCTCCTACTCTGAGTTCGAAATTTCAACTTCAGTAGCACGTAGAGACACCAAACCTTCCAGTTATATTCCTATCAATATTATGAAGGCTTTTACAGAAGGGTTTGTTCATATATCATTCATAGCCTGAATTATACAACATTGTATACCTAAAAACATGGCGAAAATGGATATTTTAGGGCTGTTGACAGTATTTTCTGATTTATGGAGTGATAAAAAGAGATATCCAATATCCCTTCTGTAAAAGCCTTAGATACTAATATGACTACAAAATGAAACAATAATTTTGAACCTGGCTTTATCCAAAGTTCAGATTTCGATTCCTGAAATGTGTTAAAATATGTGCATATTTATTGAGATAATGGTTAATTTGCATATTTAAACATGTTATTTCAGAAAACTTGTAATACAAAAAACAATTGCCTTATTGTAAGTAATTAACTGGAGAAATGTCTAGCTGATACCTTTAAGTTAAACAAATTACCCTATTCACCTGGGGTGTCTCGCCTTTAATGCATCTTATGAACTCCCCTGCCAAAATGTCACAGGATCATAAAAGGCCTACTCCTCTGGGAATGAGAACCGGTGTCTAGCACACACAATCAAATACAGGAAGCTATGCTTATATTGCTTAAAATAAAAAACTCAATACAAATGGTTTGCATAGATGGCACTGCATGCACTGGGTTTCAGTGATAAAATATGAGACTATACTTTTGATAAAGAGACGGGAAAGAGGCCATGATATGCCCTGGTAACCGCTCGTCTCAATAAAAAAGCAGAATATGGAGTTATAATAGAGCAGCGTGATGTGTGTCGAGCTCTGTGTCGTCAAACTGTAGCAGCCAGCATTCATCTTTTAGGCGATCTGATGAAAGTGAAGGCGCTGCCCCCCACCACGGTTCTACTGCCACCAGGCTTCTCACCCGCACTAAGCCATGGCAACATATCACCTCCACCCTCATCCACCTCCACTGGCTGCCGGTCAAGTCCCGGATTCACTACAAAACACTCCTCCTCACGTACAAGTCCCTCCATACCCTCGCCCCCCAGTACTTAACATCCCTACACCCCCTCTCGGAGTCTGCGGTCCTCAGACACGGGCCTGCTCTCCAACCCCCGCTCTCGCCTTCGTACTGTGGGTGACAGGGCGTTCAGTGTTGCGGCCCCCACCCTCTGGAATGCACTTCCTCCCGAGATCCGGAACGCTTCCTCACTGGACATCTTCAAATCCTCACTAAAAACGCACCTGTTCACCCTGGCCTTCGGACCCCAGTCCTTTCCTGGTCCCCTGGCTTCCTTTATTTTATTGTATTTGTTCTTGTTTTGTTCGCTCCTCATTGTCTGTTTTGTTTTGTCTGTGTACAGCGACCTTGGGTCCTGTGAAAGGCGCTTTATAAATTCCATTTATTATTATTATTATTACTGCATGGATTTCATGAATTCAAGGAGCATTTCAACCTATATAGCAAATGTGTGGACCAGATATTGTAAGAATAACTCACATTCTGACTCTCCTGCTTTGCTGACGTTAGATTGAGAGTGTTAACTGGCAGTGGCTACATGACTTTCAAAACGAGCCATAACCGTGCACCAATGAACACGAACCAGACCAGAACAATTTGTTGTGTTTTGATTTTGCTCTAGAACAAGTTAACCGAAGCCTTCGCTGCTAATTTGTTTTGTGCATGAGACTCACGGTCATGAAGCCGTCCAGTAGACCAGAGTCAGGTTTGGGGGGTGCTTGGAGTCGCTCCATGGACCATTTCTCGATGATGGAGGCCACCTGGCTGTTCTCCGTGCTGAGGATCCTGAAGCCAGTCATGTTCACACCACTGTATCGATACGCCTCCACGTCCAGCGCAAACAGATCCTGGATATAAAGAAAATACATTAGAGATAGAAGAGAAGGATTATGATTCCATTATTAACATCCCTGCAGTTGAAACCCACTGATAAAAAGCTAAAAGCTGAAACCCCACTACTGAGCTAACAAGCAAACCAATTACACCCCAATGTTAAGACAGATTTGGGGCTTTTAATAACTTTTGAAACCATGTCTCCAACAAAATGGTCATTTTCAGTTATGTTTCAGGGAAGCCTTTTAAAAAAAATCCTAGATACAGTTTTACATTCTAAATAGAAAGAACATAAAACAAAACCCCTGACTTAGCTTTAGAAAAAACGAAATGAAATGGTTATGTTTAGATAAAAGGAAATGTTTGATTAAATGGAATATGTATTTCTCCTGTGTTTGTTCGTCCTACCGATCCAACCCTTTTGTGAACTTTGATTAGAAACATTAACTAATATAATCATTAACTAATAAACACAGCATGTGTTTACCGAGAAATATGATTGACAATGCTGTTTAGTTGTACTGGTAATTTTGTAGTCAACTGTTATTACACATGCAAAGAGGGAGGTGTTGTGTTGGGCACTGAACAGGGTTCCAGCTGTTTTTTCATTGTACTGTATCAGTTGGACACTAAAAAGGACGGGGCAATCTGCTTGTATCATCAATGATAAAGATCAATAGCGGTTTTAGGAAATATTTAAAAGGTAAGAAAAGGCAGACAGACTTTACATTTAGTCTGTCAATGTAAACATTACAGAGAAAAGTTTCTTCAAAACATTGAGCTTCACATGATGTGGTTTTCTGTAATATCATAAAGCTCTGTGCTAAAATACATTTCTCGAAAAAACAAAGTTGACATTAAAATCAGATCAAAGCAGAGCACTTAATTGTAAAGAGTCCTGTAAACCTGTCCTTTCTTTCCATAAATAAGATCAAACGGCGCAAAAAAAATAAAATAATGCTAGGCTCAAATGTAGTTAAAAAGTCAACCTTTTTTCAATCTATTTTCTTTAAAGGTCTTTGTTTCTCACTCAGAGTAACAAAGCTGCATTCTTATTCATTCAACCTGTGTTTTCCATCAGATAAAAAAAAAAAGACAACATCTTGCATTAAATTATTCTGACACACTAGATTGATTGAAATGTTCCATATAATCTAATTACTAAAATATGTATAACCCAGGAATTAGCAAAAGACTAAATACAAAAAATAGCTGAAATAATTGAGAGAAAAAAATTACTAAAAGTAATGACTAAAATGTTGTAACATTGAGGAGATTACAACTGGACTCAATATAACATTGTTGTTGAATCAAACAACAAACTGTGCATACAAACTGGACTAAAACTGATCTTAATTATAAAGACATCTAAAATAGCTGTGAATATCAAAACAACAAAACACTTAAATGTAGGGTAGGTAAGAATGGAGAAACCAGCTCGAATGCGCTAGAATTTGAAAGTACGCAGCCGAAAAATCTGCCCCTTCCTTCAGACTTCCTTACAGAGCCCCTCCTCCAACATACGAACGCGCCAGCCTGTCCTCCTACAAAAAACGACCAAAAAGGTCGATTGTTGAGCAGCTAATTACGACCCATAGTCACGTTTCAAAGTGTAGCACCTCTAGTGGTTGTGTAAGAAACAACATGCTCCCGTTGATTGCAAACGCTCCGGAGGGTCGTTTATTCACAAATAACCCTCTCTGGAAAATCCTAAATTGTGGAATAATTTGGCCATTAAAATGCTCTTTGATTAGATTTCTAGCAAGAAGTGTATATTGTACTTTTAGAATCCACATCCAGTGGATGTGTAGGATCTATAGTTTGATAGATATTACGAAGATGATTTGAGGTCTCACCAGGAGGACTGTATAAGGGGCAGCTTCCATGTAAAGTTAGCGTCAACCCTCACGGGGTGAAAACAGTATTTCTAGTCTCGAAGTTTTCATAATAAAACCGGAAGTATTCCCCTCACTGTCAAATGATTACACAGTGATATATCTGCAGTACTCATCCACTAAAAAACATCAGTTTATCCTTGTTAATTACACAATATTGATTGGTTTAAATTGTGTACAATGCTTTTGTGTTTTTATCCTTCGATTCGGAGAAACAAATAGTTTTTTCGGAGTTTAGACACTACAGAGTTTCCGAAGACACTACAGAGTTTCCGAAGACACTACACTACCCAGACACCTCAGCTATCGTTTGGGACTACAACATCCGCTTTGCTTTACAAACTCCGTGATTAGTCCTCAAGCTCTGTGATTGGATGTTGGAGTGGCAGTGTGACAAGTTTGGAACCACGGCAGACTATCCAAAACTGGACTCGAACGGGTCCATCCCAGCCCCCCCCCCCTCCTTGCTTGTGCCCATAATGGGCAGCATTAATATATACCCACATGACAGCTAAGGTCAGAAGAGCTTTATTTAACAGCTGGTCTTATGTCTGTGACCCCTGTTGTTAATTGATAAGCCTGAAACATGCACTTGTCAAGGTTCAGAGGCACATTTTGCAAATATGGCAGTAGCCATCGATCATCTTAAGATAAGATACTTTATTGATCCCAAGTTGGGAAATGTTTTTGTTACAGCAGCATACTACTTTGTTCTACTCCACTACAATTCAGAGGTTAACCTGGTATTTTTACTCCACTACATTTATTTGAGTTACTTTGCAGATTCTGATTAATGATGGGCCGGCTCAGATGATTGGTCGTGCTTTTTACAGCGCCACGGCTTCCACAGATTAATTTTTTTAATGTATTTATTGTTAAAGCATTTAATGTATTCATTGCTATCGGGATGTTAAGAGCATTCCATGGAATACAACAAGAAGTGTTTCTGAAGTGAATTACCTACCCCACCTTTAACAAACGATAAGTAAGAGAAAATAAAAAACCTGGCACTAAATGGCTGCCATATGTGGCCTCAGTATGTTGGGTTGGTTCACTGTGCTGGAAGAATGATGCTGTCAGTTCCGGACTCTGTCTGCCAAACACAACAGTGGGAAATGACAACTACTACTGTCCCTCCACTGCCTCATTCATGTTTGTATTCTACTTTTCATCTGCCGGAAAACACCAGAGGGACATTTAATTATATCACATAAATTGGGCCACACAGAATGGCTGCAGAGATTTGTATGCACATTTAGATGTTCCATTTCAAATCGCTTTTAGCCGCCAGGATGAAAAGCACAGACAGTTGAAGAATGAATCATTCTGTTTTCAAAGGAACTTGACATTAAAAAAAGTAAAGGGAGGCGGAACACAAAGAGAGTGTGTTTTGATACAAGTTAACACAAGCAGCCTCTTCAGGACAACAGTGGGATGGGACTGAGTCAAATCCTTGATGTGGAACATGGACTAAGAACGTTTAGGGAGCTTAGAATAACACTCACTAGTGTGTGTGTGTGTGTGTGTGTGTGTGTGTGTGTGTGTGTGTGTGTGTGTGTGTGTGTGTGTGTGTGTGTGTGTGGTGTGTGTGTGGTGTGTGTGTGTGTGTGTGTGTGTGTGTGTGTGTGTGTGTGTGTGTGTGTGACAAATGACAAGCTTCTGCCTCACCTAACGTAACAATATACATGTTAAAGGAATACATAATAAGGATACATACAAAAACATAAGTGTATTCCCTTACAGTTACATGAATAAAGATGTAATCAGATTAATGTTACATTTAAAAAAGATAGGATTACTAGTAGGATCACAATGTTAAAACATATTTTCAATAAAGAACAATATATTACAAAGCAGATTGTATTTCTTATCTGCAAGCTTTTCTGTTCTGTAGCCACTTTAAGTGTGAATCTTTACGCCTACTGACTAAACTCAAATGGAGCATTTTCTGTTAGCTCAGATTTGATTTGAGTCTTTTTGATGTATGTGTTCAAGGATCACATGAGTTTGGCCTGTCAAAACTAAATGAAGGTAGAATGATTAACAGTGTTACCAGAAGTTTCCCTTGAAAGGGTTGGACTCTTTTCTTCAAGGGCAGTTGTGTTTGACCTTGTTTAAAGATGAACTTTGTGGATGACTGTTCACTGAAAGGTTTCCTGCTGACGTCTTCAGCTGTCTTTGTCTAACACTTGACCGTCACCTCTCTTTGCCTTTAAATAAAGGTGGTTTTCTATTGCAATTTGGGTCCACCCTGCTCTACTTTCAGTAAGAGTTTCCCTGGCAACGGCTGCTCAGTCTTTACCCTGAGAGACTCAAATTGTTTAACGTCAAAAATGTTAGAAATAATAAAAGAAGAGTAACAATATATGTTTGCAGTTTTCCTGTCGACAGTTTTACAGGTTCCCCTTTATGGTGGTTTATGGGGAAGGTTGGCTGTGGCTCAGTAGGTTGAGAGGTACTGGTCATAGCGTCTGTTATTCCCCCGCTCCTGTCAACATGTGGAAGTGTCCTTGGGCAAAAGATCTGTGCCTGGCATCAATTCAATAAATTAGATGATATATAAATCTGCTCAATTTACAAAAAGCCTTTTTCTTTGCTCTAGAGGGTTGATTTGTATGGACATTGGGAATAAGCTAGTATGTGGTGGTAAAACGGTCAAAAACATTTCCATTTGGAGAAATGCACTACAGTTTAAAAACAATTTAAATATAAACATAAATGCGCCAAAACAAATGCAAATGAAGAAGCCTCTTCACCAACTTGACGACAAATGTGCAGCATTTAGAAAACATTCACCAACTTGACGATACATGCACAGCGGTGACTAAAAGCACTGCATAAAGAACGCTGCAAATAAACAGTTCTGCAGGAAGCTCAAAACACAACGGAAAGCAGGGGACACTAAAAGGTAACGCAAACAGATAGGCCCGGAGTATTTGTAGACGTTCGGGGGTTATGAAGCTGGCCAACTGTAATTGTTGTTGGAAACCTACCTAAAATGTAAGTTTTATTAGCTCATTTTAACAATGTGATCACATGATTCCTTCTGATATTATCGCAGATGCTGAAAGCAATCAGAATCAGAAACAGGTTTATTGCCAGGTAGGTTCACACATACGAGGAATTTGACTTGATGTCATGGTGCAGACATAAAATATAAAACAAGAAATCTAATATAAAACAATAAATCTTGAAGGACACCGTAATAAAATATAGTTAAACGTAGCTAACCTAGTCATTTCAAATATACTGACACAACATTTAATTATGAAACGGACTAACTCTGCTGACTGTGACACTTGGCCACCTTTATAATCCCCAAACATCAACAAGCTCTCCAGTGTGTGTCACTTTTTGGGTCATTCCAGAATTGGAGGACATTTCATGTCCCCCATATAAAAAAATCTAATAATCCATGCCCAAAATGCTAAAACATGCACTTGTTGTGTTAAACATACTTGTATTGAGACAAAATGTATATAAAGTTGTAGAAGAAGTGGTTTTAAAATATTATTTAAATTATCAAATAGCTCTCGAACATCCCCTAAAATGGCTTTTTTCTCTTGTCCCTGCTTCTTGGTGACCAACTTGCATGTCAAATATAACATTTAAAATAGGGATTTTATTTACTTTTTTTGGTATTATTCTATTCTTGTAATGGTAAAAATCAATTTGTTAAATCATAAACATATTTTAGATAACAGTAATTTTGCACAGAAGGTGTGTCCCTCAACATGCGCTCAACCCTGTTACCCACACCTTTTTAGATTGGCAGAGGAAGTGAACAAACTGTAAATCAGATGACACACAGGAAGTGACATCAGCAAGCCATGTGCTAGTGCCATGGGTAGACCAAAACTAAGTCCTCTCTTTTATTTTTCATATTTTTACAATCTTTTCAGTCTTAAAAGAGTGTGGCACTCTGACCCACTCAACCCTGTTACTCATATTATCAGAATAAAGCATATTCATTTCAAAGTTATCTTTCTTGCATTAGATATCCAAGTTTGTCCTTGCCTTGAAAGTAGCATTACATGCTACATCTAGCAATAATTCCTGAGGTTAAAGCTAACATTAGCATGGATTTTCAACCCTGTACTATAATTAGAGTAACAGGGATAATTCTTCATTGGAAAATATACATTTGATGCCTAGCTGGGCAAATCACTTTTTTTGATGGTTTATTATCTGTTTTTCCTAAATACATAAAAAATAATTATAAAATAAAAGGTTCATTTTTCAAAAATGTTGGTGTCTAAATTGTCCTCCAATTCTGGAATGACCCTTTTAGTGTCCCCTGGTTTTCGTTGTGTTTGGAGCTTCTTGCAGTGTTTTCTAATTGCATCATTTTGTTCATGAAGTGCTTTTGGTCAAAGCTGCACATGTGTTGTCAGTTTGGTGAAGATGTTTCTTGACTTGCATATGTTTTGGCACATCTGTGTTTATACATTTGCATGGTTTCTGAAGCGGCAGTGCATTTCCCCTAATGGCATGTTTTGGGCTGTTGTAGCGTGTTTGCACCTGTCGGCCAGTACAGTCAGTATGTGGAATCTGAAGCATTCTTAAAAACTCTATAAGAAAGATGCGACTATGATATAAAGGAAGAAAAGGGGGAGAAACACATAACTGTGGAAAATAATGACGAAGAAGAAGAAGAAGAGCATTAATGTTCAAAAACAGCAGAAAAGGATTGAAAAGAAGAAACAAATCTCAGTTATCCTAATGTCACAAAGTACTATGCTATTATTTTCTTTGGCTCTTGGAAACACATTAAAGGAAAAAATAACGATCCGAGGTAATAAAATGAATAGCTGAGAAAATGAAGATTGAAGAGCGGCGCCATCTCGTCTTTGGGCAACACATCTTCATGGGGATATGGAGCTCTGAGTTAGACCTGATGACACAGAGACTGTGCAGCTCAGCCTCTTTCTCTACTTACCAGTGTGGTGAAGATATAGTGATAATACTCTGTCATCATCCCCATGGAGAGAGCCTGAGAGAGAGGGAGAGATTTATAAATGAATAGGGAGGATCAAATATGTTGTCATATTTCATACACACACACACACACACACACACACACACACACACACACACACACACACACACACATTCCTCCACATGTGTGTCTGTATTACCATGTAATGTGAAGAGGCATATATACACTGCTGCAGCCACAGGCTCAGAGATAAGAGACAAACACCCACCAGAAAAAGGACATAAGCCAAATAAAGCAAAAGACAGAGCTCAGACTCATCCTATCTGGCATATGTAGGGGATGTGGGGGATAATGCATCTTCCTATAGAAGTGGGACATCTGGAAAACATATATAAGGAAGTCATCCTAAAATAATGAGGTGGGAAATAGTTTAGAAGCTGGCGTTTAGAACAATCTGTGTAAAAAAACAACTAGTGGTGTGATACTTATGCTGATGATATGAAAGTGTGAATATACAAGCATAACATGATGCTACTGGCTCTGAGTGGAAAATACTTTCAGCGCTGTGAACCAGGAAAGGTGCAAGCAGCTCATCAACATGTATTTGTTGGCGTGCTTTCATCACACAGATGGATATGTTAAAGCAGCCACATATCCTATAAATATGTCAACATTTGATGATTCTGCACATAACAGTTTACATTCAGTGCTAATGTGTGAAGGAGTGTGTCCTTTATGTAGAGAAACGCAGAGAAAAAGGTCATTGTAGTGATGGGTGTGTTACACACTCCATTGTATGCACCGGAACTGCAATAAAAGGTTTTTATTAACTCTGAACCCTTTTCAACCGTTTTTAAAACACATTTGATCAAATAAATGGCCTAGAACAAGGTTTCAGAATTTAGATTTCAACAGTCTTGCCTTGAGACATGTTTAGTGAATGACATATTATTAAAAAAGACAGTCTGACCAGAGCGGTTTCCTTCAAGTCTCTACAATTGGGTCCACTTTTATTTTGACAATCTACATTTCAATAATATCTAACATGATATGTTTTCCTACTCTTTACAAGATCACAGATTATTTGAATGCAGCTTCAAATAAAAAAGAAAAAGGGGTTCAGCCATCCAATAGACTTGTAGTACAATTGCTGTTGAGGTTGATGGGGCCCTTAGATTAGGATGCACCCTGAATGCCCTCCATGGATTTAATCCAGCTTTCTAGAAGTTGGAGAAGAGGGAAACCCTTGGACAGAACCACACCAGGCAGCAGGGATTATCTGACCTGAGAACATCTTGGAGAGTTGGAAGACATGGCTTTGGAGAAGGCTTAACCCTAACCCTAACTTTGCCAGTTTTACCCAATGCTAGGAGCAGAACTTGAATTATAGACACAAATAATTGGTGTCTATAGACCGGTGTGACTTTAGTGGGGAGTCAGAGGAAGGAAAACTAGAATAGAATGAGCACAGAGAGATACTTGATGAATGGGTAAACAAGACTCTGTTGCAGTTACATTTGTATTTTATGTTGATTAGAACAGAGTCACTCTAAATGGCTGCCTTGTTCAGGAGGAGTTGTCATCTGCCTCTGATTGCTGCAAATCTTATGTGCTACCACAAATGAGTTACCACAGAATCATGTACTTATTCACCCCATCAAGAGGCTATCTGTTTTTAGATTTCGATGGTGGTGTCAAAGTCTCACTAAACTGAAGTATATCCCAGACTAGGACTGTGTGTAGAGGATGATTAAACAGACAGGAAGTGATCATGCAGCCTGGATCAGGTGGGGGACCTTGAGAAGCCTCCTCCAGCCTTCTTTCTGTTTGAGGATCAGCCCACTCACCACCAGTGACTCACATGGTGCCATTTCCTGAACCTTTTTATACCAGAGGAATGCTGGAAACCTTTCCATGCTTATGTATCTATGTTCCAATTTGTTATGTCATTTATAAAAAGCAAATCAATGGAGAAAAACATTCTGTTCAGTTATAATCACTGTGAACGACAGAAAAAGCACTTCCTAATTTAGTTGTAGCTTGAAGGTGGATTCTGATATAACTGAAAGGAAATATGCTGTTCAATGTATTCACATGATTTTTTTCTTGGTTACACTTCTTGGTGCGTCTAATCCAGCTAAAATAATGACGTTTGATAACCTGAAATACTCTCTTTAGTCTATGATGATGGTGTTCGCACAATGGAAAATCTGCCTGAACTCACCACATTTATTTTGATCTACAGCCTTTTATGTTCCGACCAGGCTAGCTTTAATATTTGTATTATTATCATTAGCCACTTGTCCTCCTTTCAACCATATATAAATCAATCCATTCTCTGCCAATTCCTTGTCCAATTGCACGATTAATCATGATTAAGTATATTACAAGGATGGTTCTGTTAGATACAGCTGGGAAATACTGTCAAAATCAGACAAATGTCAACAAATCATTTACTTAATTTATTTTAATTGTAGGTCTTTTTGTCCAGACATTCTTTGACCAGTGTGACCATGATAAATGTACAGAGGTGGGAGAAGAACTCAGCTATTGTACTTGAGTAAAAGTAAGAGTGTAGGAATGGTAAGTAAAAGTCCTGTATTCAAAAGGTTACTCAAGTAAAAGTACAACATTATTAGCATCAAAATATAGTTAAAGTACCAAATATTAAAAGTAGTGATTGTGCAGATTGGTCCATTTCAGAATAATATATATATATGTTTTATAATGATTGATCATGAAAGTGTTCTCAAAGCTGGTAAAGGTGCAGCTAGTTTGAATGGCTTTGTATACTGCAGGGTAGCTGGTGGATTTACTCCAGGTGGAACTAAAGTCTGATTCAACACTTGGTTAGATTTCACATCATTCATCCACATCTGTGAAGTAACTAAAGGTATTAAATACATGTAGGGGAGTAAAAGTACACAATTCACCTCTGAATTGTAGTGGAGTAGAAGTACAAAGTAGTACAAAATTGAAATACTCAAGTAAATTACAAGTATCTCAAAATTGTACTTAATTACTGTACTTGAGTAAATGTACTTAGTTCCATCCCACCTCTGTAAATGTGTCTCTCACTTACTGTAGGGACAATTTGAGGGGAAAGTTAGAATTGAGCTACACTTCAACCCATGGCAGAGTATTTTTGTTCGAATAAAAAACTGCTTAACCCTGTGAGACAACATAAAAAGAAGTGACTTTGAAACATTAGAGTGTGTTAAGTGTTTTAGTGTTGCTGTAAAATAGCCTCACAAAGACAGATGGCAGCGACATCCATTTCCAGAATCAGGGTTTATTTGATATACATTACACACATTTTATGATTTTAAGTTTTAAAAAGGCTCTGAAACATTCAGGTGTTATCCAAGCTTTCTCCTCTGTTTGTCTTATTGGTCTGACACAGATCTGTCTGTATCTATATATAAGGTTACAGTCTTAGAGAGCCATGGCCTTAACTTACAAAGGTGATGCAAAGACGCAGATCATAATTTCGCACAAGGCAATGCCACACAATATGATGTCATCTGCTTAAAATGAGAAGCCTTAATTTGTCTGATACAAGAAAGGTGGTCACTGTTATTGAATGAGTGAACTAAATATACAGCATGTAAATATAAGTGTTTTTTTAATGATTTATTCAACAAATCAGTGAAATGCTAGTCTGTGTCATACATTACAGACATTAAAGGTATATTATGTATCCTCTCTGTTGTCCTCCTTGTTGTGTCTACATTTGGGGGTTACGGTTTGACAATGGCTGATGTGAAGTACTTATGATGACTAACTCAAAGGTGTGTCATGTAATGAGAATATCAGAGCGGGACAGTCTTTATTCCTTCCTGTTAGCAGGGATTCTCTCTGACATTAATAATAGAAGGAGTCCTTGACCTTGCAGCAATCTACCACCCGGCATTGATTAAACCCTGAGTGACAGCCTGGGGCGGAAGTCATACTGTCTTTAATATTTGATAAAACCTGAAAGCAGAAGAAATATGAATTCTTGTTAATTGAGCTACTCATTGCAGATTCCCTAATGTACGCCACATGGTATTCTGATCTGCAGAGAATAGCCATTTTAAAGAATTTCAGGCTGACACATGCAAAGAAAATGTGGCTGACACATGCACAGCAAAGTCAATTAGGTTGTCATTTCAATGTGATAAATGTCAGAAAGTACATTTATGTTTGTGTGAGTTATTTCAAATACTGTTTTCTCCAATGTGTTGATATGTTGTGTGTAATTGTGGCATTAATACTAATATTATTTGATAAGACGATGCTTCCTGTGATCTCAACGTAAGTGTGTTATTATGACAGGGTTCAAGGCTGCTGTATTTACTTCATGGTCTGTCCAAGAGATTTCCATCATGCAGAAGAAGAGGATCCCAGGAGAGGATGGAGCACAATTACCAGCAGCACAACATGACCATTATGATAATCAGATCATTAAGTCATGACACACAGTGATTGCATAATGAGATGACTGAGTCGTCATTTAGACATAATTGATCTAAAAACTATTATTAGCAACTATGTTTACTTCCTGTGATATTATTACATATGAGAGGGAATGTACTTTAAAGATCTCCTATCATGCTATTTTCTAGGCATATATTATGGGTATCAGATATATACAAATATATAAAAAACACGTCTATGATGTGATTTGCACAAAATACCAAACAGATCATGCATTTTAGACATCCCTCATATCCCTCTGTTTCAGCGCTGTTAGAGAAGTGCTGATTCTCTGCTGGCCACGCCCCCTTTTGAGCAGCAGGCACACTGTGAGGTCTGTGACGAGCTGTCTGCTCTGCTCAGATACAGCTACAGGATGCCGTGATTAAACGCCATATCATGTTCCAAACCACTTCAAGGATTATTTCTGAAACAGTATGGAGCTCAAATGCTTTTTCTCTCTCAGGTTTACCACAAGGTGAGTTCCTTTTTATTTCCTGCTTTTAACACATACTCTCTCCAGTACAAGTTAGCTCTGAGTGTTAGCGATGCTTGCTAATGTAAACACAGACCATATTACGTCCAAAACACGTCGGCATTGTTTCTGATAGTAACGTTTCTGATAGGGCCGTGGGCATAAAGCCAGCCCACGTTTCTGATAGTACGTCATATCGGACGCAAATCTGGATCAGCTCCGTTGTACCATACAAATTCCTCAAACGCCTCAACCTCCACACCATATACTCCCATTTCAGTATATAAATAGATCAAAATCAGAAGTACTTTATTCATCTCTAAGGGGTACATTTGGTACTGTAACATTTGGTCCCATTGTAGAGCAAGATTATTAAAAAAATATGAATGAGAAATGTATTTTTTTGAAGAAATGTATACACACACATGAAATATTAAAGTAATAAATTCAACATAACAATTCAAGGAAATTGACTGTATTGGCACTGATTATGAGCTTAGCAGTATTTGCAATGTATAGTTGCAGTATAAGGGCGTTCAATCTTATCAAATGTTTTAAAAAATGTTTCTGATATTTAATAAAAGGAAACAATTTGGCCTGATCTTCAGTATTATAACGTATTCAACACGATTAGGCAATTGCAAATGTGTGTGTGTTGAAAATAAATGTGTGCAAACAGTGTAGGCTACAGTGAAGTGTGCCTTAGATAACCCATCTTTTAGGAGTTATTCACACACACACACACACACACACACACACACACACACACACACACACACACACACACACACACACACACACACACACACACACACACACACACACACACACACCTGCTTCAGGATCCCAGCAGCCATTTCATGGCCACAGTCGAAGATGATGTGGAACTCCTTCCCCCTCTTCATCTCTTTCAGCAGCGGCTTAGCATCCTTAGAGTCTGCAGGCAGCTGGCGGATCTTTAGCCGGATGTTGTATCGGGACGGAGCCTTTATGAGTTCTTGCAACCGAATCAGACCTGTCGGGAAAACAACAAAGGAAAAAAGGATGTTTTAGTTTGCCTGAAGAGTCTGTGTTATTTGACAACATTCTGAAACTGGTACAGTCCTGCTCCCATGAGGGCAATATTCTCCTGATCGGACAGTTTAAATATATGTACATACATTTACACAGTAATTGAGGTAACAGCTACAGATTCATTTGGCAGTAGTTGTTTTAATTAGACTGAGGATAAGAAAGCTGCAGGGGTATTTTTCTATCGTCAGTTTATTTCAAAATCGTTTTCCTTTAACCTTCCCTCCCCTACTCTAGAGTAAACACAACATTTTTCTTTCAGTGCCTTTCTATTTCCTCTTTCACCATCTTTGTCCCTGTCCTCTTTGTCCATCTAATACTTTACATAATACATTTCAGCAGTATGCTTCACGTCAGTATCAGCAGGCCCTGACCCAACTATACAAAGAGTGGAAGAAACACACAGAGCTCTGTCTGGACCGTGTTTAAAGGTACGATCATTGTCATCAGTGCTGAAATGTAATTCATTGTAAAACAAATGTGCTGAGTTACTGCCATACATCCCGACTCTAATTACAAAGCCTTAAGTGATCACAGGTAATTAATCAAACTACTGTTAAGTGAATTCACACTGACTAAACCAGATGTTATTTTTAATACTAGCCAGCCATCAGTCCCTAAATCTACAAAAAGTCCCGTCGGCCGCTCAGCAGTGTGTGTCTCTATTTGCCCAGGCACACTGTCCCCAGCTGTTGCCCTGTGGCATTATTTGTTTACTTCCTGCTTCCAAATGAGTGCAATGCACTGTGGGAAACCAGCCCGCAGCCAGTCAGTGCTTTCATTAAATCAAACACTGATGATCCCCCCCCCCCCCGAGTGTTGACCTGTGAGACACCGGCAGTGTTCCATTTAACCATAGCGTGATGAAGTGACTCCTCAGCTGTTCACAACATCACACACACACACACACACACACACACACACACACACACACACACACACACACACACACACACACACACACACACACACACACACACACACACACACACACACACACACACACACACACCACACACACACACACACAGTGTATGATATAAAGAAAGCAGACTATAAGGGTTTGAACTTGTGTCAAAGAGCTCCGGGAACCAGCTGTGTGTGAATATGTGTAAAACAACAGTGTGAACATGTGATTGATGTGGTGTAGCAGTGAGTTTATACAGTAATGAGTGACTAAGCATCATTTGATCAGTGAGATTTCCACCAATGGATATACAGTGGGGTTAAAGACAAACAAAAGCCAATTTATCATTTTACATTTCACAACCACAAAGCTCAACAAATCTTGTCACCTGCTCATATCTTTTGAAGACATACAGTATGGAAGTGGCGAACCGTCAGGGCCTTCAAGGTATTCAGAGAATACCCTGGAACACTCAGATAAAACAAACAAACAAATCGATTTAATTATATAAATAAAATGAATATAAAATGAATAAATGAGAATGGTATCTGTGTTGTTGATCTGTAATATTACAGTGTTACGTTGATTTGTTTGTCCTTCTCGGACCATGCACTACGCATTTCAGTGGTTTTGTGTTAGAAAAGAAAGCAACCAATCAGATCTTGTTCTGGGTCTCTGGGTAGAATATCCTTCAACAAGGTATTCTACATCCTTGATAGAATGCCCTGGCCGTTGCACTGAATGAGAGCATACGTTTGGACTGACAGTTTGATCAACCAATCATATATTGATTTGTAGCCAATGGGCGTATTCTTTCAGAGTTTCCCTCGGTTCCAGGGTGTTCTAGAAGTCCTGCTAGTTAACTGGCTCGAGACAGAGGATCTAGATCAGGGGTGGGGAACCTCCGGCCCCCGGGCCGTATACGGCCCGCGATACCATTTGGTGTGGACCTCGAGGTAATTTATAAACAAACGCAAAAAAGAAAAAAATTTAAGAAATCTAGACCGCAAAATAATTAAACAAGTGAGTGCCTGTTTTTCCTGGCCAAGGTCAGGTTCCTTGAACACAACACAAGCCTAACGTGTCATCACGTGGTATATGGCTCGTCTGACAGGAGTGCAGTTCTGACAGGGAGCACCAGAACGCCGCTCCGCTCCGGCACTTCCAAAAATTGCAGTACCCATAAGGAGCCGTACACATGCTGCAGTTTTTGCAGTGGTGGGCCGTCAGGGCCAGCAAGGCCTTCTCTGCTGGCCTAAACATCATCAGAATATAAATTTAATTTTGATATATTTTTTCCACAAATATGTATTAAATTATTCCCCATAGTCTATTATTTTCATTTCATAGCTTTCCTCTTGGTTGCGCTGCTTCCAGCCTCAGAACAAGATTTGGAGGGCTGGCTTTTATGTTAGAGCTTTTATCCAATCATATTTCAGCCATAATGTGTTGCCAGGGTCCAAGAAATCTGCCCTTAGGCCTTCAGAATCAACAGTGCGGGCGCCTGTAGCTTAAATTGAACGGAAACAAAACTGTGGCGTTAACCAATCAGATTTTGAGTTGGCGACAACGGGCCAGCTAGCAGGCGTACGATGACGTCAGCACGTGCACGTCTTTTGATTGGATACGCACTATTGAGAGGCAGAGCTATGTAGAGCTAGCAAACTGAACTTGAATTTGAACGAGCTAATTTGTGTAGATTTCTACAAGCTGTTTTTTTTCAACCCACAATGGCTGAAGGAGGAGAAGAGATCGATTTGGTCGCAGATATAATTACAACGCCATTTTCAAGACGAACTTTTCAAGAAAAGCTAGACATTGTGAGAAGAGAACGGCCAACCCCGACGCTAGCGAGCCTATCACAGCGGGGGAAAGGGTTTGTCCGCCACTTTCAAATCACTAACTACGAGCGGTACCCCTGGCTCACAGCCTCCGAGAGGCACTGCAAATTGTACTGCTGGGAATGCCTGCTATTTGCAAATGATCGATTTGGTGTTTGGAGCCACACTGGATTTGCAAACTTGAGTTGTCTAACCAAGGCAGCAACGAGACACCAAAGCACGGCTGGGCACTTACAAGCAATGGTGCTTTTGAAAACCTTTGGGGACACCCGAGTGGATCTACAGCTCAACGAACAAGTGCGCCGGGAAACGGAGCTCCACAACGAAAGGGTGAACAAAAATAGGGAAATATTGAAAAGACTGATTGATTGTGTCCTGTTTTTGGGTAAACAGGAACTTTCATTTAGGGGACATGATGAAAGCGCTGAGTCCAGAAACAGAGGAAACTACGTGGAGCTTCTTTCTTTGCTTGCTGAGAACAACACAGACTTGCATTACCACCTGTCCACAAACAAAGTGTTTACTGGGACGTCAGGCAAAATACAAAACGACCTGATTTATGCTATTGCTGAAGTGATGGGAGAAGAGATCAAAATGGAGATTAAAAAAGCACCCTTTGTCGCTGTTATGGTGGACGAGACGACAGACGTGGGTAATGTAGCACAGCTGGTACTTGTCCTGCGTTATGTGACGGACACAGGTGTCAAGGAGCGGTTTGTCAGATTTGAAGATGTTACAAGCGAGCTGATGACATTGCCGCTCTTATTTTTCGTTTCATGGAGGAATATGAATGTGGTCTGGATAAAGTTGTGGCACAGTGTTATGATGGCGCAGCGGTCATGGCATCTGGACTAAATGGGGTGCAGGCTAAAGTTAAGGAGAGGGCACCTATGGCCTTATTCATTCACTGCTATGCACATCGACTAAATTTAGTGCTGACTCAAGGGGCCTCAAAGCTTAAAGAATGCAAGGTCTTTTTTGCCAGCCTCAATGGCCTTGCAGCATTTTTCTCCAGATCCCCTAAGCGCACGCAACTGCTGGATGACATTTGCAAGCGTCGTCTTCCTAATGTTGCACCAACGCGGTGGCAATATACATCGAGATTGGTCAATGCAGTCTTTGAGAAGAGAGTTTCCCTAAAGGAGGTGTTTGACCACATACTGGAACATCATGAGGAGTATGATGGGGATACTATGCTTAGCGCTGATGGATTTAATGCACGTCTGGATGATTTTGAGTTTTGTTTTTTGCTTGAAACATTCAATGGGATTTTTAAGCATTCAGATGTGCTCTTTGGAATACTACAGAAACAAACATTGGATGTACAATTCTGTCTGACAAGGGTGAACGAGTTTTGTGACACAATTGAGCGAGACAGGTGCCAGTTTCGTCAGATCTACGAGGACACAGCGCGCATCTCAAATGGTCCGAGCGCACGCAGAGGCCCACGTACAGCACAAGGAGACCTTCGTGCTTACTACCAACAACTCCACAGCAATATTCTGGACAACATTCTTTGCCAGATACGGAGTAGGTTTCAAGCCCACGAAAAAGTAATGTTTCTCTCCCTCCTGGACCCCCAGCACTTTCAGACCTACCGGAAAAAATTCCCGCAAACAGCCTTAGCCAAATTAACACAGAGTCACGGAACACTGTTCGATCTGTCCCGGCTAAAAACAGAACTGACTGTAATGTATGCCATGACTGATTTTGAAGGGAAAAGTCCCACTGATCTCCTTGATTTCCTTAAGCAGACAAATCTGAGTGAGAGCATGGGGCAGCTTTACACATTGGCATGTGTGGCAGTGACTATCCCTGTGTCCACTGCTTCTGTCGAGCGGTCATTCTCGGCCTTAAAGCGAATTAAAACTTATGCCAGAAATTCTACTGGACAGACTCGGCTTTCATCATTAGCCTTCATGTCTATAGAAAATGACTTATTGGTGGAACTGAAACGCACAGATAAACTGTACAACAGAGTCATTGAAGTCTTCTTGAGGAAAGAAAGGAGGATGGATTTTGTGTTCAAATAATCAGTTGTTTTGGTGAGTACAAAGCATTTTATTTTTTATTTTATTTTAATATATTTTTGTCATTTGATGTCGTTAATATTAAATCAATATTAACGAATTAATATATATGTAATTAAAATGACAAATATATAAAAAATAAATGTTTGATGCTTCTGCAAGAGAT